CAATAGATCATTAAACTTGATGTATGAACTATGATGTTCATGCATAAATAAACGTAAAACAAATTTATATATGAAGTTGGCTGTACGCAAACAACTGCTGTAAACCTTTTAAGCTTAAGCTTACATACAAGATATGATGCCTTAGGTAATCATATGGGAATCATGTACGGTTGTACGCTAGATTCTGCCTTTGTTCACCTGTGTATCTCAACTGAAGGCTATTTTGCCATACAAGCTGGTTGACATGGTGGTCCAAAATTACCCAGTACATATATTTTATTGCAAGGTTTTATGTTATTATTATTCACACAACAATTTTCCCTTCCTGTTTTGCTTGTATTCATACAATGGCTGCTGTTGGTCTGTATATTCTGTTCTAACATTCTTTCCTAATATAAACCTTTTCTGAATTTCTTCAGGGCAATTTTCAGATACTTCACTTCAGCAATGGAATGGCTACAGAGGAACAAGTACTTCCATGTTGTGGTTAAAGGGGTTGAGCGGGATGGCTGGAAATTTGTATTGCTTGCTAGATTCTCTCCTTTGCCTTCCTACATCATCAACTACGCTCTATCAGCCACGGATGTTGGATTTTTTAGAGATTTTCTTCTTCCCACAGTGATCGGCTGCTTACCAATGATACTACAGAATGTTTCCATTGTAAGCCTTGCCGGTGCAGCAGTGGCCTCGACCACAGGATCAAATAAGTCCCATATATACTCTTACCTGTTTCCAGCAATGGGCATTGTGTCCAGTGTTGTCATTTCATGGAGGATTAAGCAGTATTCCTCAGCCCTTGCTGTTCCTGAAGAGCTGCAAAGTTCACCTACTAATGGAAATGACAACAGTGATGCTAAGCTGGCGTCCACACCATCCAAAAACACCAGCTCTGGGAAAACTAGGAAGAGAAGGTGACTGACAGTATCCCCCTGTATCTACTACATTGTGATACCGAGTACCAAGCAGCTACAGCCGATGCTAGTCAAATCTTTGGATTTCCACATTGGTTTACCCTACAGTAAGCTATCTTGTCTGTTTCATGCCATGGTTTTTGGGGGGCATTTAACAGATGCTCAGTCAGTCATTGAGCTTCTGTTCTTGTGGCAGATAGTATCATAAAATGAATATGATAGAAGCTCACATGTTGTACAAACAGAGTAATCTGGTGGTTTAGATTTGGATTGTCCTGAGTTCAAATGTATCCTGGTAACCAATATTGGTTTTCCCTCCCTAATTATATCAAACTTGACATGTGCACGATGAGGTCCAACCAGTTTATGTTCTTTGGTATAACAATTCAATTCAGAACTGTGTTTGCTTTTTGTGTGGTTGTACAGCTGTTGTGACATCCTCTATAAGCAGAGGTCCACTCTTTGCCCACAATCCAAAGCAAATAATGCAGTAAACTCCAAGAATCTTATACAGTATGCACAAGCTTTGGTTGCACTCCTTTCCCATCTCATTATTTAACCCATGTTCTGCTCCTTTGTTCTCGTCTCACAAAATTTCAAGAGATGAAGAGCTCTCACTTGTGTTCCTACATTCTTCTTCTAGGCATCTATGCTCCAAAAGCCCTATCAGATAATCCTCCTCTTCAGGATGTATGCCCCATGGCTCCCCAGGGTGAGCGGAAGCTGTTCATGAATGGTTTCCTCTGCAAGCATCCCAGCACCATCCTGGCCTCCGACTTCAAGACACTGCTGCTGAACCAAGCCGGAGACCTGGGCAACATAGTCCGGTCATCGGTGAACATGGTCACCACTACTGAGTTCCCAGGCCTGAACACCCTGGGCCTGTCGATGGCGCGCACCGACATCGCCCCCAATGGGGTAGTGCTCCCCCATTCTCACCCGAGGGCATCAGAGATGATGTTCGTACATGGTGGCAGTGTGGTGGTCGGCTTCTTGGATACGAAGGGCAGGCTGTTCCAGAAGAGTCTTGGCGAGGGGGAGGTGTTTGTCTTCCCCCGTGGCTTGGTTCACTACATCATGAACTATGGTTTTAACCTTGCGACGACGTTTTCCGTGCTGAACTGTCAGAACCCAGGCGTGGTTGGCATTGTCCATGCAATGTTTGCGACAGATTCAGATGTAGTTGAGGGGCTGATGGCCAGAATGTTTAAGTTTGGAGAGATGGGAGTGAGTGACAACATTACTGCTGGTTTCCCATGGGCATTCTGATTAGGAACAACATAGTGGTTGTGATTGAAGATCACCGTCTAAATGCCCAGTAATGAATAATGTATGATTGTGGTGTATCTGATTAACTTCTGTAACTGATGTAAGTTTGTAGTCTGAACTACTTGTAGGACGAATCACAATCATCCCTTATCTCCCTCTCTCCAGGATTATTTATGTTATTGCAATCCCTGCTCTCTTTTTGTTGCAGTCCTTTGCAATTCTGCTATCTCTCACCCTTTTGTTTTGCTTTCACAATCATGTTTCACTTTGCAATCTTATGTCAATGGTGATTCCCTAGTTGCGTCACGCAACTGTAGCTTCAGCATCACCAAGTTTGAGTATTCCATGGACAGCAGAGCCTTCCTTTGTCTTTTGCTTTACTCAGTGGATCTCTACACCATTTGTTGTTTAGCATTATCTCCAGGCTCCAACTCCTTGAAGGTAAGATCTCTTTCTTTGAAGGAGAGATCTCTTTCTTTTCCGCGCCTTCTCTTTCACACTGAAAGCTCCTGCACCTGATTAAGGTAGACTCCTCTAGCACCAGGCCAATCCTGTCATATTCACACGCTGCTTTGCAAGGTGCTCTTGTAACCGATATTGTTAATGATAGATCCATACTGCGCGAAATTGCCGATAACTTGTTAGGTGATCCATTTTGATTTGAATCCTTAAGTGTTATTGTCAGATGTTCCTTTCTGTTGGTCTATCGCAGTACAAGTGTGCTGTTGATAATGACCCATTGTAGAAGAAGTTGTGAAGCTATGCGCTTGCTTTTTGATTTAGCAGACTCGGTTGCCCCATCGTTTTTTTAGAGATTAGATTTTCCATCATGTTAATTTGAGAGATTTTGAAACGTCAATTCTTCTTCAGCGACATTTTCCTCATTGATGGCGATGATTCATCAAAATGGCTTTTCTTCTTCTTACAAGGAAACAGTTTAGGAATATTGATTAGTATAAGGTATTTTTTTTAACATTTAACAAAACTTGATGATAGGACTGGGATCATTAAATAATTTTTGAGTTTATCCTGTGATGATTTGATATGATCAGACTAACCAAGAATTTTTTTTCAAATTTTCAATAGAGAATAAGGCAAGTCAAGATTTCAAGCGCTTACCATGGTGGGTGAGAAGCATTTATGGGCTTGACTGAAATTCAGAGCCAAAGAACACGAGTTTGTTTGAAACTGTCTATGTATACAAACCAAGATTGTTACTGTCAGTTTGTATGTCACTTGAGCACAGTTGATATGACTAAACTTACCCTTGGACCTTGGTCTCTGTCGTGGGCTCGTGGCTATTATTATTTGGTCAATAAACAATTCATGGAAGTGACAACAAGAAACAATTGATCACCCAAGTGTATCCTGCACAGTCAACCTGTATAATTTTGTTTAACCCCAAAAAAAAACTATATAACTTGGTTTCAGGTTGAGATGGCTACATGACACTTCTAAATTCTTTCCATGCGATGTTCTGGATTTGTTCGCACAAATTAAGATGTAAAGCCCCTACTGAAAGAGTCTCCAAGCTCGCTATTGAACAAATAATTTTAGTCTTGTTAAACTAGCTCATGGTCCTTAAAAGTCGCACGAGGAAGATTTAGTTATATGCCTTTCCAAAATTGAAGTATCATCAGACAAAGAAAAAGCTTTCATGTCTCGTGTTAGAATTTGGTTCCTGACGGGGTCATGCTGTCAGAACGGGAACTGGTTCAGATAGGGAAAAAAAACTGTGAAAAGAGAGACTGGAAGTCTGGAACCACGGCCTTGTTTAGATTGCAATCTGGACATTGTAGCACGTTTCGTTTGTATTTGACAAACTTTGTTCGATCATAAACTTACTAGGCTCAAAAGATCCATCTCGTGATTTACAACCAAACTGTGTAATTAGTTATTTTTTTTACCTACATTTAATGCTCCATACATGCGTCCAAAAATTGATGTGATGGAGAGAGAGTGAAAAAACTTGGAATTTGGAGGTAATCTAAACAAGGCTCACATGGGGAAAAAGAAAGAATACCTCATTTTGTTATTCAAGAATGTGTACGACTTACACCATTGCACAAGCATTTTTTTTTTTTGCTATATGTAGTGCTCTTGCTTTGGACTCTCTATACAATGGGATAAAGCACTAGAAGGCACATGCTAATAAATAAACAAACAGCTGATACCGACAAAAAACGAAAAACAAAGGTGACTACTCCTACCCTGGTTGCTCTGTGTGGACCAGGGCGTATGCAATCATGCTCATAACCCTCTAGAACCCTAACATGTTAGCACTAGTACTCATTGGCTGAGGCCGTTCATGGTTGTTGCCCACCAGAGATGGTGCTCCAACATGGGATCGGAGGTATGTGGCCTGAAGCACCTCAGCTGATGGCAGCCACAAAATGCGTGCACTTTCTTTCGTGCATTGCATTGGATGGCTCAACTTTCATGACCTTTGCCAGATCAGATATTTTGATGCTTCTGATCTGATTAATTAGGCCATCAAACTCTGTATCATGCTGGCTAATCAAACTGCCTAGTCTAAGTGAGTGAGTGAGTGAGTGAGTGAGAGAGAGAGAGAGAGAGAGAGAGAGAGAGAGAGATCTGTACAATGGCATTTGGATTATTAATTCTTCTACTAGAGCAAATGAACAAAAAAACTGTTGGGATTTTGACGACCCAACTGGTCCGTCACAATCAAAGCAATACCTACTTTGGTGTCTACTCCCTGCCCTCTACACCCATCCGTATATACGCTACAGCATCTGATTGCGATATGTACCGAACTCTTTGTCATGCGAAAACTTTTGGATCGACGCTATATATAAATTAGAAGTTCTCCTTGTGGAACTCGAACTTGGTGTTGGTTTTCCGCGAGAAATCCTGCGCGAGCTCACGCAGCTCCTTTGTCAGCACCGGGGCACCACAGTAGAACACTCCTGCAATATCAAAGATCGATCAAAGATGTCAGTGTTGATTCAGAAATTGAGGAAGTCATGCGTTGCTGTATGCAGTAACTAGGATGATGATTGGCCGTGTTGTTGTTTTATCCTTTTATTATCCCTTTTCAGGTAAAGATGGAGCTGCTAATAAGCATTCCTGCTGATTTGACTCAGTTAGGCAAGTGATGAGCATGCAGCACCTCTTGGAAATACTATATATGTTAAAGAAATCTGGTGCCTATCTGACCCAACTTTGTAGTGTTGAACTTTGAACTTTATAGATACCCATGCTTCATAATTTCTCTCTTTCCAAGCGACTATATATATGCTCACCATTTTTTTATTTGTGTTTGCAATAATTATCAGCGTGTAACAATGATTGGTTAGCCCCTAATCTATAACCTAATTGCAGTTGCCAATGCAATGCAAACTCTTGTTTATATAATCATCTCATCGTCTACTTATTGGTTGTGCCTATCAGCAAGCAACAGTGATCGGTCGCTTATTGGTCCCTCTGATCATCTAGGCTGTCAGGGTCCTATTCACTCTCAAGTCTCAACCATGGCTTGAGTTCAAATTGAACACGCACAGCAAGCACCACAAGCAGCCCCGGTGCTGGTGGTCATGCATAATGACTGTCCCTGTCAGCTAGGTCCTGCGGCAGAAGTTAGGCCAGCCACATTGCACTACTCCACGCTCATCACACCTATCCACTAGCATGCATCAAGTTCGGTAGAGCGCCTCTTTCACAGCGGTCCATCGTGTGAGAGAAGCGTGGCGGCATATAGACGACCATGCACACTTTTGGCTACTACTACATTCAACCTTTCTACGACGTCGGTAGGGTAGTAAGTAGAAATGACGAGTTGACGACGGAGATGAACAGTAAATAATCTTGCAGCAACTAACAAACTTACCGACGCGCTGGTTTTGGTGGTTGAGGGCGATGCGCTTGTAGACGTTGCGCCAGTTGGGCCTGGCGAAGTGGGTCTTGACGCGGGTCCCCGACACGACGTCGACGCCGTGCTTGGCGTGGTTGAGCGACTGGAGCATGGCGATGAGCGCGGACCGGGCGTCGCCCTCCTCGTACACGCTGGTGCAGTAGTTGTGGAGCTCGATCACGCCCTTCTTGTCGGTCTCGGCCACCTCGTCCATGACGCCCCGGAACCACTCGAAGGAGCCCTGCTCGCGGGTCACCCAGTAGAAGTAGGCCCGCCGCGTGCGGAAGGACGCCATGGAGGACGCCGAGGTGTCGGCGCCGGAGCCCGAGCCGGACTCCAGGTCGCCGTCCAGCTGCTTCATGTTGTTGATGATGTCCTTGATGATGGAGATCATGGGCGTGGCGCCGATGCCCAGCCCGACGAGAAGCACGATGTCGTACTGCTTGTAGTCCTGCGCCGGCGCGCCGTACGGGCCGTCGATCAGCACCTTGGGGAAGCTGCAGAGCAATAGTAGCTTTGATTAATCCTAACGGTCAATCAAATGCACAAGCAATCCATGGTGCATGCAGTTGGCATACATTGTAGTGAAAAAATAAACATCCTAGGTACTCTATTAGAATGTCAAAAATCAGTTTGTCGGAGATCGAGGCGGCGAAGTCAACCGTGTTGGATTATCAAATCGGAGAACCTAACCCACACTCACAAGCCACAAAATTCTTCTCCGTGTTTGACAGGCACAGATGGGACGCGTGCAGAGAATGTCCTTTGTCCCAAAGATTTTTATACCAATGAAAAAAACTTAAGAATATTCGGAGTGGAATATATATGTTGGGCAACGTAGCTAGATCGACCCTTCTTCACCTTATCCCCAACCACTGGCCGTCCTTCCCCCAGAAATGGCCATGGATAGAGCAGGACCAACAGAACAAATCTTCCACCGCCGGGAATATCACCGGCCGGCCGGCCACCGTTGGTTCGGCATCATGCCCACCGGCCGAACTGAACGAGGCAAAGTAGCCACCACGTACCACTACCAGTCTATCACTACTGTTCGGTGACGGAGATCCTGCAGGGGTCAAGGTCAACACCTGCTACCCCAAAATGTCCACACGGAAGAACCCCCAGTTAGATAGACAGGCACTTTGGCAGTGTGAAACGTACGTACAAGGCTAGCTAGTGTGTGCACCGCAGAAAACGAAACGTTCCTTGGAGAACCGGAGTCGGGACCGTGATGCAATGGATGATGCCATGGCTTTTGTCCTGCTGACCGAGTAAAAAGGTTCTTGGAAGGGAAGGGGAAGGGAGGTCAGAAAAGGTGGCGCCACCGACTGGAGCCAGCCGAGCCGATGCAAACCAACCAGACCATGCCCACAGGCCACAGCTGGAGAAGCACCATCTCCATCTGCGAGCAGCAGCAGTTGGCACCCGGACGGCCAGTGACGACGCGGCCACTGCCACCTACCCCTCCGAGCGAGACCTGGTCAGGTCCAACCCCAACCCCGACCCGGCTCCAGATGACTCGTCAACATCTTCTGCTCCCTCCCACTCCCACTCCCACCCTACGCCAACGCCACCGTTGTCCGTTGGTTCGCCTAGCTCCCGCGGTTGCCCCACGTTTTTGTCATGGAGACGCGAGAGGAAACTCAAAATTTCGTCTCACCTGGGGTTGGCCATGGCGCTGCCGTCGCGGTCGTACTCGGCGCGGAGCAGCCCGCTCTTGCCCTCCGTCGGCGGCCGGCACACCTGCATGCACATCCATCACCACGCACTCAAGTTAGCTGCTTAATTCTTCAGCAATCACCACACGGACGGATATCGACAGCCACCACCAGGTGCTCGATCCCTTTGCGAATTGATGATGATGACATGACATGGCGCGCGCGTATGTACACGTACGACGTACGTACCCTCGAGAAGACGTTCTTGAGCTCGCGGGTCCAGTCGCCCAGCGTCCTGATGTGCACGCTCACGTAGTCGTCCTGTGGGGCCGACGTGATGGAGAACGGGTGCCTGCAACCAACGCAACGCATCCGTCCATTATATTAGCAACACAAAAGTCGTTAGCCTCTCGTATCCATGGCCATTAACCCACAAAGCATCTGTGCTTTGCTTTCTTCTTCAATCACTAAACTAACTACTCCTATTAGTATACGTAAACTAAACAAGCTAGCAGCCTAATTAAAGCATGAATCTCAACAAATCACTAAACCAAGCATAGCCATAGGTGGAAGAAAACAACGCGACGCTGGCTGCCTGCTTACGTACCACTGGAACGGCGAGACGGCGGCGCAGTTGACGAAGATGTACTGGCCGCTCTTGTACCGGAACCCCTGGGGCTTGGAGAAGTGGAGCGACAGCACGTTGCCGGGGTACACGGCCACCTTCAGTATCCTCACGGGCCTGACGCTGGACCGCAGCGCGCGCGTGAGGCGCTCGCACGCGTACAGCACCATGGGCACCGCCAGGTACATCCACGTCGACTTCTTGTACCACGTGTGCGTCAGGTACAGGTAGTGGCCGTGCACGATGAGCAGCGCGTACACCACCACGAAGCAGTGGTGCGAGTACCAGAACGCGTTGAACCCGGTCAGCCTCCTCAACGCCCCCGGCAGCGCGATCCTCCCTCCTGAACCACGGCGTCGCCAGCGTGAACGCCACCGCCATGAGCACCAGCATCACCAGCCCCGTCCACCCCTCGGTGCCCCTCACGAACCACCAGTAGTTCGGCGGGCGGGGGACGCCGAAGTACTGCCCCAGCGGCGCGTACTCGGCGTCGGTGGCGTGGAGCAGGCGCGGGAAGTCGCAGGTCAGGTGGGAGACGATGTGGAGCGCGGCGCCGACGGTGATGCCCACGGCGACCACCTTGTGGAAGTTGAGGCTGTCGTCGAAGGGGACGACGCGGCCCACGGCGGTGCGGTTGCGGATCCAGGTGATGGTGTTCCGGCAGACGGGGAGCAGGATGAGCGCCATGTTGAACTTGAGCGTCTCGGCGCCGCCCTTGGCGACGCACACGCAGTAGCCCATCACGTGGAACACGTAGCGGCGGCGGTACTGGATGAACTTCCAGGCGAAGAGGCCGGAGCAGATGGAGAGCCATAGGAGGAGTACCCACACGCGCTGCCAGTTGTCCTCCAGGAAGTACTGCGCGCGGCGGTACCAGCGGCGGAGCGGGTTGGGCTCGGGGGTGGGGCGCAGGCTCTGGCTCAGCATCTGGCTCAGGTTCCGGCTGTTGGTGGTGCCGATGCGCACGGATTGGGAGGGCGCCTGGAGGAGCAGCGTCTCCAGGTTGTAGAGGTCGATGTAGCCCAGGTTGCCTGGGTCTAGCTCCTCCATGATGAGGCGGGCGTACTCCTCGGCTTGCTCCGTGATCTTTGATAGCTTGTTCGCCGACGCGCTCAGCGTGATGATCTGCAAGAGGAAGCATTTGGTTTGGTTTGGTTTGGTTTGGTTTGCAGAAAGACAAAGACCGACAGGCTGTGTGTGTGCATTGCTGTTTTTGGAGCGACGCCGACGGCTAAACTGAGTGGAGAAAGGCTGTCGACAAAGTTACCTCTTTGACCTCCTCCTCGGTGATCCTGCCGTCCGCGTCCTTGTCCACCCTGCAGGGGTAACCGAAGGAAGGTTTGGTTACTCGATCGCGGCGCCATCAGTGAGATGAGCGTTTGACGGTCCGTAATTAAGGGAGGGGTTACTACTGTTTGTAGCAGTAACTTAACGTACATGTCGAAGAAGGTCTGCAGGCGGCCGTCGAAGCTGGTGTCGGAGATTTGGTCCCAGAACTCGAGCAGCTCCGCCTTGCTGATGCTGTCGCCGGAGATGTTGCGGCGCCGCGACAGCGCGTCGAACAGCTCGCCGGCGAACTCCGGCTCCTTCATCCCTGTTGTTCATCCATGTGTGTGTGGTTAATTAATACAACAAGACAAAGCTTGGCAGGTGCAAGCAAAGCAACACGCCAAAACGCTCGAAAGAACAAGCAAAAGCAGAAGGATCGATCACTCACCGATGCACTGGCCGAACTTGGAGCGGTGGAGGAGTTCGTTCTCGGCGAGCTTGTCGAAGCGCCTCTCGACAGCCTCCCATCCGGCGGCGCCCTCGGCCTTGCTGATGAACTTGAGCCCCTTGAGCGCGTGCGCCGCGGCGGACTTGGAGCGGTCGAACCTGGGCCCGCCGCCGCGGCGGTTGATGGAGGCGATGCGGCGGAGCTCCTGCGACACCTGCTTGATCCGCGACGAGGCGTTCCGGATGACGGAGCTGCCGGACCGCCGGTTCTCCAGCGTGCGCGCCAGCAGCGTCACGTCCGAGTCGTCGCCGTTGCCGCCGGCGTGCCCGCCGCCGTGGGCCGGCTTGACGCTGTGCACCGCCACCGAGTCGTCGCGCACGTCGAGGGTGATCTCCACGTAGTCGTCGTCGTCGTTGGACGCCGGCGAGGCGGCGCGCGGCGGCGGCGCGGAGAGAGGCGCGGACACGGACTCCGCGAACCGCGCGCTCTTCCGCGCCCCGGTCTTCTTGCTCAGCGGGCCGCTGTGCGGGATCACGCGCTCCCTGCTGGCCGCCCCCTCGTGCGGCGGTGGCGCGGCGGCGGACGACGACGACGACGACATCTCCACGATGTCCCCGCCGCCCGGCCTGGGGTTATGCATGGCGATCGATCGATCGGCCGCCCCTTCCCGTCAGCTGCTTGCCAGGGAACGAAACGCTTTTACGCTGGTACGGAGGGGCGGGCGGGTTCTGTCGTAGTCGGCAGCGAGGGAGGGAGGGAGGAGGAACCGGGAACGGGAGGCGAGGGATGGACGGTGCGTTTGGCGAGGAGGGGCGGGTAGCTTTATAGCCGTATCGGTACGGGGTTCGCGTACGTTTTACTGGTCGTCGTCGCCGCCGCCGCCGAGCAGTGTGGTGGGAACGGGACGGACGGGGCGGGGTTGTTGTGGAGTGCTGTGTGTGTGCTGTGCTGACCGTGTGGCTCGATCGGTGGTGAGGGAGGCTGGGACTGGGAGAAAAATCGCGGGGTCAAGGGGCGGCTGACGCGGAAAACACTGCTGCTGCCTGCTGCCTGCTGCGGCTGCTTCCTCGTCTTCGCCCTCCCCGTGCCCGTTCGCCGGTTCGGGCCTCGCGTCGCCGGCCGGCCTTCGTTTCGTCAGCGTCCGTCGTTGTACGCACGCGGTGTGTCGTATGCGGCGCGCGGGCGTATGTACTAGACTACTAGTAACGTACGTGTCGCCGAGAGCGCGCGTGCTCTGCTGGCTGCTGCTCACCTCTGCGCTGCCCTGCTCTGCACTCTGCTGCGTTTGGACACGGAGACAGATCTCTGAGTTTGTCTTGGCTCCGATGGCTCACTATGGAATATGCATCTGGGCTACGGAAAGGAAATGCGGCGACCACGGGATGCGTTTCGTAAAATTGGGGCTTAGTTTCTCGTTCATACTTCATACCCTGTAACATTGACGTTGATGACGGCTTAACCACAGACGTTATACATAATAAGATCCTCCTCTGTTTGGTATGACTTCTTTACAGCGGCTTCGCCAATAAGAGCCAAAGACTTCTCATTTGAGTAACTTTATTCTTCTTCTAGTAAAAAAAATAGCTTTTCCCCTTTTATAACTTCTTGCAAAACCATTTTATAAGCTATAGCTTTATACATTTGTTTGAGAAGTCAAACAGCCTAGATATGTCCTCACCGACGACGGTGCTCGAGTGAGTTCAAAAGTCCTCACGAGGAAGTATGTGCTATATGTTACTGACACTTGAGAATGAAGGAACTTTGCGAAATATAATGAATTTTACGAGTGAAGTCCATCGATGACGATCATGTTTGTTTCGACGCGCGCGTCATCTTTTTTTTTTTTGAAAAAAATATATAATGACCCATTCTCTTCCTTCCTAGGCTGGCATCATCTACTAGCTAGCTGCAGACAAATTTTTGGGTCGCTTTTCTCAACGAGGTGTCACCCTTCCTCAACCAGTACTGCTGGAGGATTTCCTGATGGACTAACTCAAACAATCTTATTAGATAACCTAAAGGTACTCCCTCCATCTTAAAAATACAATTCTAGATTTGAACCAAGTCAAGTTTTTTAAACTTAACTAATTTCATAAAAATAATATTAGCATTTATGTCTACCGCAAAAATATATTTCATAATTAATGAATTAATATTTATGCGCGTCGTAATTGTTAGTATTTTTTACATAGATTTGGTTAATTTTAGAGTTGTTTGACTCCTTAAAAGTGAGAATTGTTTTTTTTTGTTGGCGGGGCAGAGCTTTGTGTAGATCAAAGTGGGCCATGTTGTAGCAGAACCGCCTAATCTAATGCCTCCCAGGAATACTTGCCTTCCGTTAGACACTAAGTACTCAAGGGATGACACTAAATTACGCAATTCCGTCGAGCACACCACATGGGAGAACCCAAAAATCCATATTTTTCAACAGGATCATAAATGGGAGAATAAAACTTACAACATTTTAGCCAATTCTTACATCACTTTCCATACAACATGAGAATATAATATTTATTGTTTATAACAGCGGAATATAAATATGTTATCAGAGTTTCAGCAGAAATAAAACCATTTACTGACAAGTTAAACATTAAAATGATGCTCCGTTATATACATAGTAAGAATTTATAAGTTTTTCTATTGTAAAACATTTTGGGTGGAAGTTTCAAATAAACTCTATGTCCGCAACGTTAAAGAAATCCTCGCTGAGCCCACCAGAAGGTTTCCACACACAAGTGTCAGCTTCTCATGTTCCTATCACCTGCAACAGGGTAGAACAAACCCTGAGTACTCAATTATACTCCACAAGACTTACCCGTTAGGAGAAAAGAAAAGACTCCAAGGAATATGCAAAGCTATATGGCTTGTGGATTTATTGCATCTGCATGAGGCATTACTAAGCGTGCATCCTTATATTCAATTTTATTAGCAGTCATCATTATTTCATTAACTATCCATCCTAGGTAAGCACATGTGCTACCTTCAAGCATGTGGTAAGCAATCAGAACCATTTTATTCTTTCCAAGTTTCAGTTCTTACTACGGTGCTAGACTGTAGACAAGTCGTACCGGATTACCCGGCGATTCGCGAATCAATGTGCCCAGCTGGGTACCCCGAAACACACGCCCCGCTTTTACCCTAGGCACAAGTAGGACCAACCCACCACTCTCCTGTCAAGGAGTCAAGGTCCCCGTCCAAACCTGGACTCCAAGCCCCACACCTGAGTTCCGTACTCAGTGTGGTGCTTAGACCTCCACCATCTCCGCCTCCCATTAGTCAGTCCAAAAAGAGCCGGAACTCACGAGAAGAGAGCAACGAGCCTTCTCTGCTCCCATAAACAAGTATGTGCTCAGGATAATAAGTCTGTGACCTGCCTAGAACCTAATGCAACGGCCAGTCTTTAACCGACACAGGCGGAACAAGTGCAATCCGAGCCTCGCCCGAATGCCAAACCAAGTCCAGATACAAAGTACCATTCCGCCCGGTCTCTAATTATCATTCATATATATATTTTCAGGTGATAATAATATAATAGCAATAATAATATCTTTCCTATCTCTCGCGAGTGACAGACAATCACTCGACTTCTACCGGAGTCCTGTAGCATAGCAATCTACACGATCCTGTCATACTAGTGAAACTCATAGGATAAGGATATATATATGCAAGTGGGTTTCATTCAACTCCTTAAACTTAATGCACAAACATAAATTAAAGTGCAGAATAATAGGGGTTATGCACCGGGGCTTGCCTGGATAAAATATAACCGAAAGTTAGCATTCCATCTTCGTGACATGATCCATAGCACCATCTTTCCAGCTACCCAGTTGGTTCCACAACCCATCATCGTTCCTATAATGATATGTAAAGATGAAATGCATGCTTCAGTCAAACAAGCATACACACAGGCATTTTACAAATGCTAAAAGACAAGCAACATGTCGTTGAGTGACTAGGGTAGCTAATCATCATCAAGCAACTTTGTATTTTTATATATTAAAACACACAAGTACAAGCCAATTCAACCTACTAAACACACATCCATAACTAAACATAGCCAAGCCACCCTTTACTAGTCAAGGATGGAAAACCAGTAGCATAGAAAACCTGTTGTAAACACAAGGTGAAATATATACTAAAGCTAATTCCTTAACTAAGCATAAAGATTAAATAAAATGGTGACGGTTTGAACATACATCTAGGAGATGAAAGTTCTATGGACGGAACATCTCAACTAAGCATAGCTACTGTGTGAATATCATAATTTTCGAACGAGCAATTTAATTACTACAACATAATCAAGATCTAATTGCAATTAAGCATATGACACATGATAAATCAATAACTCAGTAATTAAGCATCCACTAAACATGAAACTTTTACCATAGCACAAACACATCCACACTAGTCTACCATAAAAATTTCACTACATTTCGACTAATACAACATGCTTTATTAAATAAACATAAAGGCTAGATTACACCTACACAAAAACTTCATACTAAAGCACATGCCATAATATATCTACTGCATAGAGCTAGTCACAGGGATTCCAAAACATATTTATTTTCCTTTTTATGATTTTTCTACTAATTACTATGATTTTCCAAAGTTTTAGCCGATTTAATCATAAAAGAAAAAAGAAAAAACCTAATAGGACAAACACTTTGCGCTAAAGCCCCTGGGATTTCACTAAACCAACCTGCAGTATAACACACACTATGCATCACTATTCATATGAGTCACGGATTTGCATTGGGAACCCTGGACTTGTTTCTATTCTCACCTAAGGCCCTTCTCTTGAATCATAGCAGAGCAGTGAGCAGGGGAGGTAGTGCGTCAACCGATTCCCAACCGAAGGGGCGGCTCGCTGGCGGGCGGTGTTGTCGCGGGGGGCCGCGGCAGCCACGCACGCGTGCCCAGGTAGGACGTGGCTCATCTGGAGGCGGCCCGTAGTGGAGTGGCGGCTTGGTCGGGTGCATCCGGCAGTGGCCCGGGCCACGCGCGCGGTGGCCGTGGCGGGCGGCTACACGACGGCGGCGGTGCAATCGGCGGCTCCCGGCCGGCGGGGGTGCGCAACAGGGGTAGAGAAAGGTGTCGAAGTTGGTGGTGGTGTCCGTTTGGAGCGAGGGAGCTCGAGGCATGGGAACAAGCGGTGGCCACGGGAGCTTCCCTGGCCATGGCGGCCTTGGCGCGCGGCAAGAACAATGGGGTGGGAGTGCAGGAGCTCGGTAGGTTGGGAGGGGAGCAGCGCAAGGCTCGACCCCGCAGCCATGCCGTGTGCTTGTGAGTAGCAGAGCAAGGGAGAGGCCCAGGAGAGGGAAGTAGGCAGCAGCGGCTCAGTCCTCTCGCGCGTGTCGGACAGGGGCGAGGTAGGTGAGATGAGTGGCGGAGAGCGAGCGCTGTAGTGATTGAACGGCAATGGACAAGGGCACCTCCCTGTACGCGCGCGTGGACGGCATTACGGTCGACAGCAGCTCGCGCCCGGTGGAGAGCGGCTACGGCCACGCCAGACTCAGTGGCAGCGACGACCGAGGGGAGTGCCGAGGTCATCGACCAGCAGCAAGCGTCGCAGCTAGGGCTAGCCAAGGCACGGCCACACCGTGGCCAGACCAAAGGCAGCTCCCGCCAGCCTGTGGC